TGCTGGGGTTGGATTGTGGAAGTGATGAGAACAGGGACAGAGGACAGAGAGGCTGCTTTTGCTGCCTTGTTGGCCTTTCCGTTCCCTCCTGAGATTTCATCTGATCCTGTCTGGTGTCCTCGGCAGTGTGTAACTCCTGCCGTAGCTGGGAGGCGTGCAGCTTGAAGGCGCTGGTAAATAAGGGGACCATTAGTGGTGGGGGTCCCTTTGGCAGTAAGAAATCCTCCTTCCTGCCCAACAGCGGCATGGGAGTAAAGGATGTAGTAGGCCTATTTGGAGTCTGTGAAAAGGTTGACGCATTTGCCTTTGGAAAGGGTTACAGCTCCTGCCTTTTGGGAGGAGGTTCCCTGAGGGTAGGGGTTTAGTAAAGAGTGACAACTGCATACCCAGCGATTTCATGGGAGTTGGCTGGTTTAGAAGAGGAGCTGTCTATGAATAACTGATGGTCAGAATCGGGGAGAGGCTCAGGGGAGATGTTAGGGAAACGAGGCTGTAAGTGATCAAGGACTTCAATACAGGAGGGGAGGAAGACAGTGGAAGCAGAGATGCAGGAGTTGGGGGAGCACCTTTGGAGAGGCAGAACTCAGGTTTTTCGAGAGAGGGCACGGAGTAGCCGGATACAAGAAGGGGAAAGGGTATGTAGGGCTCGGGAGGAGGGGATATCTTAGAAATTCTGTGAGCTGTGAACGGTGGTGTCTTGACCGAATGTTAGTTTTTTGCTGTCCAAGGCTCGGAGGCAGGTTGGCCATCCTTGAGCAGTGGTGTCTAGTTGTTTAAAGAGGTAAGCTACGGGAGCAAAGGAGGGGGGACTTCCTTTCTGTTGGCCAAGGATGCCAAGGGCTATTCCATGTTTCTCAGCTGTGTGCAGAGTGAATGAAGGAGAGACGTCAGGCAGAAACAGCAGGAGGGGTGACCAGAGCAGCCTTAAGTTTGTGAAAGCTTGGGATTATGTGGTGTGAAGGGGCTCATTCAGAGGGCCTTTGGCAGGTTCACAGAGGGGGCGGGCTAGGAGGGCAAAATTGGGAATCCATATTCTGAGAAACCTGCTAGCCCTAGGAAAGAAAGGATTTCATTTTTTGAGGTGGGTGGGGGCAGGCTGTCTATTAGTGCTGTCTGGGCTGAGGTCATGGCTCGGGTCCCAGGGGCGGGAGTTGGACTCCAAATACGCTACTGTTAAAGTGGAGAGTTGTGCTTTGGAGGGGGAGACCCTGTATCCCTTATTAGCGATAAAGTTCAAAAGGGTAATGGTGTGAGTCCTCTTGGGAAGGGCTACAGAGAAGAAGGTCATCCACATACTGGAGAAGCCGACTAGGAGAAAGGTCTAGAGGTGAGGTCTTGAGCCAGAGCTTGCCAGGAGAAATGAGGACTGTCCCTGAAACCTGGGGGGAGGATGGTCCATGCGAGTTGTGACTGGAGGGAGTCAGGATCAGTTCAAGTGAAGGCAAAAAGATTCTGGGAGTTAGGATGAAGGGGAATAGTAAAAAAGGCATCTTTCAGATTGATGGCAGTATAGCGGGTTGGGTTGGAAGGGATGAGGGGAGCACGTAAGGGTTGGGAACAACTAGATAGATGGGAGGGGCTGCCTGACTGACAGCCCTGAGGTCCTGGACTAGTCAAGAAGAACTGTCTGCCTTTTTGACAGGGAGTATGGGAGAATTAATTATATGGAGAATGGGTTCGTCTGAGACGGCTGTGTGAGAGGAGTTTATGATGGGCTGTAAGCCTTTTTGATGAATTAATGAGATGGGACATTGAAGAATCCTAGGAAATTTGGAGGGTCCTTTACTTGGATTTTGATGGGGTCATGGTGTACTGCTACAGAAGGGATGGTAGCATCCCACACTACTGGATTAACAAGGGAGGTGGGGAGTGGGTACTGGTCAAGGGCTGCTGTGGTAGCGGAGAGGAGGAGAGAGTCTGGTTGTGGGGGCCAGAGGAAGGTGATGGAAGCTCTGAATTTGGCTAGGAGGTCCCTGCCTAGATTCAGAGTAGGACAGCAAGGCATGATAAAAGAAAAAAAAAAGGGAGAGAACAGTATTAAATAAAGAACAAGTAAGGGGCTTGGTGGCCTGCAGATGTGAGGCAAGTCCATCAACTCACAAAACTCAGACTGGAGAGAGAGGAGTTGGTCCTGGGCGTTCAGGCAAAGCTAAGTATGTGGCCCTGGTATCAATTAAAAAAGAGATCGGCTTACCTGTCACTAGTAGAGTTACCCTGGGCTCGATGTAGTGATGGCAGATGGGGTCGCGGGCCTTAGGCCTCATCAGTCTTCAGCAGCCAAGCCCAGGAGCTGCAAGGGTGCAAGGGATTCTTCACCTTTTATCGTGGTGAAGGGGTTATGGGTTGGCGGTACAGGCTTTTCTGTCTGCCTGCTGAAAGGACAGTCAGAGTTCCAGTGGCCTGTCTGCTGGCAGACGGAGCAAGGGCTTTCTGGCACCCGTGGATTGGGACATGCCTGTGCCCAATGGCCTATGCCCCCGGAAGTGCACTGCTGTCAGGATTTTGTACTCCTAGGTACCATAGCCAGGTTGGCAAATGGCTGTTGCTAGAAGCTGGTATTTAGCACCGTCTCTTTGGGCCTTGTCTATTTTACGTTGTTCATCCCTATTACTGAAGACCTTGAAGCCAGGTTAAGGAGGTCTTGTTGTGGGGTTTGAGGGCCATCTTCAGGCTTTTTGAATTTATGCTGGATGTTGGGGGCAGACTGGGAGATGAAATGGGTATTAAGGACAATTGTCCTTTCTTGGGAGGCAGGGTCAATGTGGGTATATTTCTGGAGAGCCTCTGTCAGACAGGAGAGGAACTGGGCAAGATTTTCATCAGTTTTCCGGGAAATTGGAGTTTTTCAAAATTTACAGCCTTATGGACAGCTTTATTAAGACCTGCCATGAGGCAAGTAATCATGTACTTACAAGATGCTCAGATCTGTAGGCTGATATTCCCAAGCTGGCTCCTCTCGGGGGGCAACAGCCGCCCCTACAGGTTTAGTAGGGTCCTGCCAGTAATGGTCATCAGCATGTGCCTGCGCTGCAAGCCACATTCTTTCCTTTTCTTCGGGGAGGAGACGAGAATATGCAGGTCACACCAGGTAAGTTCATAAGACTGGGTAAGATATTTAAATTATTTGATATAAGTGTCTAGATCAGAGGAGAAAGACCTAAGGTGCTTTTTGATTTGGGAGGGATCAGATAGAAGACATGAACATGGACAATGACTTCCAACCACTTCTCCAAGGGGGAGTGAGGGAGCTGGCTGTGGGGGATGCCGTGTTCAGGAGCAGGTGTGGGGTGAAGGTAGGAATTGGGAAGGGGAAGGGGACAAGTGGAGAGCTGGAGCAGGGATCAAAAGCGGAGGTTCAGGGTGTTCTGGCTGAGGTTCGCGGTGTTGGCAGGTTTTGCATTTGCTAAGGAGTGTTTTACTAAGGAGTGTGATATGGTGCTGAGAAGGATGTAGATTCTGTGGATTTGAGATGGAGAGTTCTGTAGATAGGTCCAGATCTGAGTTCAAGTATTGGATATCCTTGTTAATTACCCATCTTACTGATCTAATATCAACAGTGGGGTGTTAAAGTCCCCTACCATTATTGTGTGGGCGTGGGTCATTAAGAACTTGCTTTATGTATCTGGCTGCTCTTGTACTGGTGCATATATATTTAGGATAGTTAGCTCTTCTTGTTGAATAGATCCCTTTACCATTATGTAATTGAAATTAATTTACACATTGACTTTCTTCACAGAATTGGAAAAAAACACCTTAAACCAAAAAAGAGCCTGTATAGCCAAGACAATCCTAAGCAAAAAACCAAAAAACCCAAAGCTGGAAGCATCATGCTGCCTGACTTCAAACTATACTGCAATGCCACAATAATAACAAAAGCATAGTACTGGTACCAAAGCAGAGATAGAGACCAACAGAACAGAGGCCTCAGAAATAATGACACGCACCTACAACCCTCTCATCTTTGACAAACCTGAGAAAAGCAAGCCATGGGGAAAGGACTCCATGTTTAATAAATGGTGTTGGGAAAACTGGCTAGCAACGTGCAGAAACTGGACCCCTACTGTCACCTTACACTAAAATTAACTCCAAATGGATTGATTTAAACATAAAACCTAACACCATAAAAACACTAGAAGAAAAGGTAGGCAAAACCATCCAGGACACACGCATAGGGAAGGACTTCATGACTAAAACACCAAAAGCAACGGCAACAAACGCCAAGATAAGGATCTAATTAAAATTCAGAGCTTCTGTACAGCACAAGAAACCATCATTAGAGCAAATGGGCAACCAACAGAATGGGAAAAGAATTTTTGCAATCTACCCATCTGACAAAGGGCTGATATCCAGAATCTACAAAGAACTCAAACAGATTTACAAGAAAAAAACAAGCCCATTCAAAAGTGGGCGAGTATATGAGCAGACACTTTTCAAAAGACATAGATGAGGCCAACAAACATGAAAAAATGCTCGTCATCACTGGTCATTAGAGAAATGCAAATCAAAACTACATTGAGATACCACCTCACACCAGTTAGAAGACACATGCACATGTATGTTCAGTGCAGCCCTGTGTACAATAGCAAAGACACGGAACCAACCCAAATGCCCATCGATGACAGACTGGACAAAGAAAATGTGGTACATATAGACCAAGGAATACTATGTTGCCATCAAAAATGATGAGTTTGTGTCCTTTGTGGGGACTTGGATGAATTTGGAAACCATCATTCTCAGCAAACTGACACAAGAACGGAAAACCAAAACTGCCTGTTCTCACTCATAAGTGGGTGTTGAACAGTAAGAACACATGGACACAGGGAGGGGAACATCACATACCAGGGGGCCTGTCAAGGGATGGGAGAGCAATATGAGAAATATCTAATGTAGGTGACAGGGTGATGGATGCAGCAAGTCACCATGTATACCTATTTAACAAACCTGCATGTTCTGCACATGTACTCCAGAACTTAAAGTATAATAATAAAAGGATAACATACGTCATATGCTTGAGTGTAGAGTTGAGCTTTCATTGCCGAAGGCACGTTAGCAGTTTCTGCCAGGTTAAAGATGAAGAACGGTGTTTTCATCCTGGGAGTGGGGATAGGAAACTTCATTAAAATCATACAGCCAATTGCACATTCAGGGCTAAATCTTCCAGGCGTCTCCACTGATAAGGGATATACAAAATCCTTTACTGTATCATTTTCAATGCTCTCATATTCATGGACATTTGCTCTGAACCAACAACAATCCCTCCACTCACCCCATAAGATGCTGCCTTCACACTAATCCTTTAGAATGAAAGCTTACATTCATCATCACTATTGCAGATCATTCTGCCTCCAAATGTACATACTTATTATGCAAGAGAAGCCAGGAAAAGGGAAACTTGCTGAGTTTGCCAACACATCCCTGAAGGTACCCATCACGAAGCTCATGCCATGTGTGCCCAGTTCTTCAAAGGCTGCTAGACCCTTAGACCCCATGAACTAATCCAGGTTGTATTTAGCACACCAATTAAATCAATACCTGCCCAAATAATGACCTGCTTTCTTCTTTTATGTCATTTCTTCCCAGCTTTCCCACACCCAATCACAGTGAATTGTGTAAATTTGTTCCCACGACTAGACTGACAAAATATGCCATTTTCTGACTTAAAATACTATTGCATAAACTATAGTATATATTTATTTGCAAGGACCTCTTTAAAGTTATGTAAGCTCTTTATATCGTCACTGTTCTCAGTGCACAGTCCCTAGCTCAGACTAGGCATCAATACATTTTTGCTGAAGGAAGCTCTCCATATGTACAAGATACTACTGTCTACATGACTTAGGACTTTTACGTTAATACTTAGGCCAAAGTTTGTTAGTGTTATTTTGATTTAAAAAAAAAAAAAAACAATGAGAGGAACCAAAAGCAGTAGCATCACTATGAAATGTTCCATCCAGGACAGGATGACCTCTCTCCTCTCTGAACAACAGGAAAGTATAGCATCCATCAGATTAATATTTCAATCTCCTTTAATATGTCTGTCTGCTTATTAGACCATAAGCTTCATGAGGATAGGAACTGTGTCATATTCAAATGTGTAGCTTCAATGCCGAACACAGTGCCTGGCATCTAGTGAGTATTAAGTGCTTAACTAAGTAACGGGCACATTACAAATGGAGGCAAGGTTGTAATGATTAACTTCTAATCAATGGATTACACTCACTTTAGTTAAGGCAAGAAAGGATAGGAGATATGAGTGTTCCAGAGGCAGACAGATGTGAGATTTGGACTTCATCACTAGCAGGTGTATGTCCTTGGACAAATAACCTTCCACATCCAGTGTGTTCTTTTATAAAACGGGGATCATAACTCCCTCATAGGTTACTGTGTGGATGAACTGAGATATTCATGTATAAGGACTAGTACAGTGCCTGAAAAACATAAATGCTCATATATGCTATTTTTATGATCACTACTCACCCCTACTGTCAAAATTAAAAGTGCCATAGGCTACTTCTCTGCTACGTTTAAAAACAGACTACAAATACAAAAACATAGATTAGTTTACCTTGCTTGCCACATTTCTTCATTGGCCACAGATTCCCAAGAAGACGGATCAAACCTGCAGTTACAAAAAAACAGTAATACCTTTCTGTCATCCACATTTTTAGGGTTTTTTTTTGGCGGGGTGGCGGGTAGGGGGGGGAGATGGAATTTCACTCTTGTTGCCCCGGCTACAGTGTAATGGTGCGTTCTCTGCTCACTGCAACCTCCACATCCAGGGTGTACATGATTCTCCTGCCTGAGCCTCTGAGTAGCTGGGATTACAGGCGCCCACCATCACACCCAGCTAATTTTTGTATTTTTAGTAGAGATGGAGTGGCACCATGCTGGCTGGTCTCAAACTCCTGAGCTCTGGTGAGCCATCCACCTCGGCCTCCCAAAGCGCTGGGATTACAGGTGTGAGCCACCATGCCTGGCCATCCTCCACAGTTTTGCAATGGATACACCATGACTTTTATAATCTGACAAGGCCAACAAAGGAAGCTGAATCTTGAAATACTGATAGTGGTCAAATCAACAAACTTGTTCTCCTGAATAAGCTGAATTAAAAGGAAGTTTGAGTTTTGGTAAATGGGTTCTTAATCTGCATAGTGAGCTCCCATGCCTCAAGAGAGGAAACAGATTAATAGAAAGACACTGCAAGTACTCGGGGAGCCAGCTGTTCCTAAGAACGATATGTTAGATGGCAGCAGGGCAGAGGTGAGGTGCAGGTCACTCTATGGACAGAGGTAAGAGCCAAAGAGCTGTGAAACAAGAGGATCAGCCTGAAGAGAGGGGACTCCTGGCTTGGAAAATCATTGCTGGAGCTATGATGCTGCTCAAAGAACAATGGGCAAGACATCTGATTTTTCCTTCTCTTAATTAAAAAGTTTCCTATGTATATATTTTGATAGAATGGGGATAATGAGCAATGTTATGTATGGGCAGTAGTTGTCAGCTATTCTGGCTTTTTCTTATGATGCTCCCACAGTGCTCTGATTATCCACATGTGTACATATTGACTTTTCAAAAAACCTTTACAGCATTTTAAAATATAATCTTGTCTGTTGCTCTGAAATTATAAACAATAGGCAGGCAGATCACGAGATCAGGAGTTTGAGACCAGCCTAGCCAACATAGTGAAACCCCGTCTCTACTAAAAATACAAAAATTAGCCGGGCATGTTGGCACATGCCTGTAGTCCTAGCTCTTGGGGAGGCTGAGGCAGCAGAATCACTTGAACTAAGGAGATGGAGGTTGTGGTGAGCCAAGATCATGCCACTGCAGTCTAGCCTGGGAGACAGAACGAGACTCGGTCTCAAAAAAAAACAAAACCAAAAACCAGAACGGCTACACCATAGGTAGAGCAGTCTAGATAGTGACTCATTTTCTATATAGGAAAGAGTGAAGTCTATGTAGAAATGCTTAAAGGGGGCTGGGCGCGGTGGCTCAAGCCTGTAATCCCAGCACTTTGGGAGGCCGAGGTGGGTGGATCACGAGGTCAAGAGATCGAGACCCTCCTGGTCAACATGATGAAACCCCGTCTCTACTAAAAATACAAAAAATTAGCTGGGCATGGTGGTGCGTGCCTGTAATCCCAGCTACTCAAGAGACTGAGGCAGGAGAATTGCCTGAACCCAGGAGGCGGAGGTTGCGGTGAGCCGAGATCGCGCCATTGCACTCCAGCCTGGGTAACGAGAGCAAAACTCCGTCTCAAAAAAAAAAAAAAAAAAAAAAAAAAAAAAAAAAAGAAATGCTTACAGGAAGGCTAGTAATGCCCCAACAACATAACCAGATTGATGCCAAGAAACTGTGAAAAGAGAGCTACTCAAATCTGAGTCGTCCCTCAGAGAGAAGTTATCTGCCATTCTTAAAGAAAAAATATGACAAGTTTGTATATATGGAAACTACCATAAACAAGACTGCCTTTTAAAGTTCAACTGCAGTTAATGAACCTCTTCCACTTTTAGGGTAATGAGATATAGGATGCTGGACAAGATAGCATTCAAAGACCCGGAAGTAGAAGGTGCCATGCATCTAACCATCATGGAATCCATGCAACCACAGCACCCCGTTTCCTCCTCTCTCCCCCTTGTTCTGTAAATAGGAGGATGATAAAGACATGTTCTTTTTTTGTTGTTTTATGGTATTCTGTGGGTAGCAACTAATAATATTAGCAATAAAAAGTAAAACAAATTAAAAAGCATCTCAAAATGTCTTTGGGGGTACTCAAAACTGCTATATTTATATGCACCAAAAGGCAACTGCTGTTCATACCTTCCGTATTCTTCGGTCCAGTTATAGATATTTTTTGTAAGTTTAATCCATTCCTCGGGGTTGAATACAATCTCCAAAGGAACCAATCTGTCACAAGACCCCCATGGCCAAAGTGAGTAGTTCTTTTTCCAGGATGGGTCACCTTCATGAATTCCTATGCAAACAAACGTTTCTTTTCTATTGAAAACAGAAAAATACATGATGTACTTAAAATTTAAAGTTCTAAATGTTAAGTAAATATAATTCATGAAACATCATTTTTAGATTTTTTTTTTTTCCCCACCATTTATTACTTACATGATTTTGGAAAAATAACTACCTGTGTCTACTCTTCTCATCTGTGAAACAGGAACGACAACTATCTTTCAGAGCTGTTTAAGATTAATGAGGTATCTGATATAATTTGCAGACTCAAAACATAATAGAGGCTAGACGTGGGTCTTCACACTAGTCATCCCGGCATTTTGGGAGGCCGAGGGAGGATCACTTGAGGCCAGGGCTTTGAGACCAGCTTGGGCAACACAATGAGACCCCACCTCTATTTACTAAAAAAAGAGTTCTGGAGAAGCTGGAGTAACTACAGTCTACTTTGTGTCTCCCACTGTACACAGCGATAACTCCCGGACACAGAATATGTGGAGCAGCCATCTGAGGACTCCCAAAAGTAAAAGGCAGAAAGAAGATTGAGAAAAATGACCAGAATTAGATGTTCCACCATATCAGGGATAAGTTTACCATTTTTCTCCCTTCAGGGAGGGAAAAAGAAGCTCTAAACTCAGAAGTTTGTTTCAAACAAGGACAAAAAGAGTTCCAAGAAAAGTCCCCCCTTTTTTGTAGCCCAAGGAGTAGAAAAGGGGACTCCGAACGTTTGGAGAGAGTGGAGGAAATCTCCCAGGTCTTTTTCCTTCTCTTCTTTCCCAGGTGCCAGCCAACACCACGGCATTAGTGGAGGCAGCAGCACAGTGACTCTGAGGGAGGGGAACCCTTCTTTCTAAGCAGAGGCACTGTGGTTCCAAGAGTGTGGAGCTCATCTCCATTGCTTTTTGTTTCTCTCAGTCCTTCAGCCTGGCTCCAGATGCAGACACAGTCACAGGAAGTGCATGGCAGAAGAAGAGATTAAAGCCTTAGCCTTCTGGCCAGAGAACCAAAAAGGAAGGCCCTAGCAAACTGGAAAGTGACGGGGTGACCAGAGAAAGGAGAGCGATAAAGAGAGCGATCCCGTAACGTTGTATATAAGCTCCTGGCTTATCTCTGAGCTGTGCATGCACAGGTCTGACCCTGAACAGAGTTTGTAAAATTAACCACAGGGCAGACCACCACCCAGGTTCCAGACTGGGTACCTGGTAGTGTTACCATAGGCATGAGCAGGGCAGAAAAGGGCTCCCCACCACCTCGCCCCAACCCCACCAGGAATTTCAGACAACCATCAGGTGATGGTCAGACATTTGCCACACTGCTTCTCTAAAACAGTAACAGGTTGCACAGCCAGCACCAGAAAAAGGCAGTTTCCCAATAGATATAAACTGGTCATCAGCAGCCTCCCAAAAAGATCTCGGGAGTTGGGCGAGTGGCCTCAAGCATGTGCAATAAAAGGCAAAATAGCAGAGTTTAACTGGTATATGACCTTGCAGGCCCATTCCACCAGTAAGGGAAGAATGCCTAAAGTGAGCATGCATACAACTTCAGTAAACACACTGCACATTCTCTTTCTCTCTCTTTTTTTTTCTTTTTGAGACGGAGTATTGCTCGGTAGCCCAGGATGAAGTGCAGTGGCGTGATCCTGGCTCACTGCATCTTCTGCCTCCTGGGTTCAAGCAATCCTCTTTCCTCAGCCTCCCGAGGAACTGGGATTACAGGTGCACACCACCATGCCTGGCTAATTTTTGTAATTTTATCAGAAACAGGGTTTTACCACGTTGGCCTGGCTGGTCTTGAACTCCTGACCTCAGGTGATCCACCCACCTCAGCTTCCCAAAGTGATTATGCGCGTAAGCCACTGCACCCGGCCCACACTGCATATTCTCATCTCCCAAGTGCCAGCAGGCTACTGTGCATCCGGGCAGGGCACCCCCAGGGAAGAATCAGGGGAGACAGGACAAAAGACCCTAGAAGTAAGCCATCATATAAAACCCTGAGTCAAAGGTTAAACGGGGCACCTGTCTTTCAAGTCGCCTGCTTGGCCTTCTTCTAAGTCTACTTTCCTTCCTTTTGTTTCTGCTTTAGGGCTTTTAATAAACTTTTAATAAACTTTTGCTCCGAATCTAAAACTTGCCTTGGTCTCTCTTTCTGCTTTATACCCCTCAGTTGAATTCTTTCTTCTGAGGAGGCAAGCATTGAGGGTGCTGCTGACCTGTATATATTTGCAACCAGTAACTTGGATACTTGCCACTGGTAACAGTAGCATGTACATGGGATTGATCCAGTCGCACTGCAAATGCTTTGGAAACAGAATTGGGGTTAGAACTACAGTTCACAGAAGGCAGGCCAGAATTTGCAACCTGAGGTTAACCTGGCCAAAGGCTTGGTAACAAACCAACCAACCAACCAACCAAAAAGTCATCATTCTCCTTGGGATTTAAATAAGACCCAAATAATCAAAATGCCCAGGATTCAATCCAAAATTACTCAGCATATGAAGAACCAGAAAAATGTCAACTCATAAGGGAAAAAAGAATCAACAGATGTCAATTCTAAGATAACACAAATGCTAGAATTGTCAAAGACTTTACAGCAACTATTATAACCACACATCAAGAAGGAGGGCAAATACTCTAGAAACAGCTGGAAAGATGGAGAAGCTCAACAAAAAAGTAAAATATACAAAGAGGATCCAAATGGCTTAACATAAATTTGGCGAGACAGTATGCCAGGGAATTTGAAGATAGATTTTTAAAAATGGTAACAGTTTAAACAAACAAACAAAAAATTGACTAAAACGTATAGAGTTTAGTCATCTGCGGGACAATACCAAAAGGTCTAAATTCATTTCATTAGAATCTTGGAAGGAGAAAAGAAAGACTGTGAAACAGGAAAAATTAATTAAAGAAATAATTCTCAAATTTTGTGAAAGATATAATCTTATAGGTTGAAGAAACTCAGTGAACTCCAAATGAGTTAACTCAAATAAATCCATGCTAAAATATACCATAATCAAATTGCTAAAAGCTAAAGACAAATAAAAAGTCTTAAAAATAGCCAGAGAAAAACAATACATTTCACCTAGGGGAACAATTATTTGAATAACTGTGGATTTCTATTTAGAAGCTACACAGGACAAAAAAAATGTAACTTTTTCTTTCTTTTTCTTAGACTGCGTTTTGCTCTGTTGCCCACGCTGGAGTGCAGTGGCACAGTCATAGCTCACTGCAGCCTCAAACTCCCGGATTCAAACAAACTTCCCACCTCACCTGCCCAAGTAGTTGGGACCACAGGTGTGTGCCACCACATCCAGCTAATTTTTATTTTTATTTTTTTGTAGAGACAGGGTCTGCCTATGTAGTCAAGTTTGGTCTTGAACTCCTGGGCTCAAGCAATCCTCCTGCCTCAGCCTCCCAAAGTGCTGGAATTACAGACATGAACCACTGTGCCCAGCCCAAAGTAACATTTTTTAAATGCTGAGAAAAACAGTATTATCAACCCAGAATTCTAGTTCCACAAACATCCTTCAAAAATGAAGGTGAAATAAAGACATTTCCAGATAAACGAAAACTCAAAGAATTCATTTCTAACAGTCTTGGTTTAAAAGAAATCCTTAAGGAATATCCTCGGAATAATGGGAAACTATACAACAGGAAAATCTGGAATATCAGGATAGAAGAAAGAACAACAGATCTGGTAAGTAACCGAATAAAATTGTAGACTGTTTTTTTCTCTTAAGTTCTTTAAGAGAAACTGAAATATCACACCTGTAATCCCAGCACTTTGGGAGGTCAAGGTGGGTGGATCACAAGGTCAGGAGATTGAGACCACCCTGGCCAACATGGTGAAACCCTGCCTCTACTAAAAAATACAAAAATCAACTGGGTGTGGTGGCGAACACCTGTAGTCCCAGCTACTTGGGAGGCTGAGGCAGGAGAATTGCTTGGACCTGGGAGGTATAGGTTGCAGTGAGCCGAGATCACGCCACTGCACTCCAGCCTGGCACCTGGCAACAGAGCAAGACTCTATCTCAAAAAAAAAAGAGAAAACTGAAATAAAAATGACAACTGAAATAAAAACGACTACATCTGACATAATATATAATACAAAAGTAAAAGACTCCTATGGCAGTAAGGGCTCCACATTCTGCTTGATGTGGTAAAATATTTCTTCTAAGAAGACAATGAAAAGTTAAGTATGGATGCTGTAATCTTAACAGCAACCAGCTTAAAAAACAAAAAACAAACAAAAACCAAAACAACAACAACAAACACTTTACCAAGAGATACAGTAAAAAGACTCAATAAACATTTTTAAAAGAAATATAAAAAGTCAACCAGGCATGGTGGCTCACGCCTGTAATTCCAGCACTTTGGGAGGCCAAGGCGGGCAGATCACTTCAGCTCAGGAGTTCGAGACCAGCCTGGCCAACCTGGTGAAACCCCATCTTTACTAAAAATACAAAAATTAGCCAGGCGTGGTGGCACATACCTGTACTCCCAGCTATTCAGGAGGCTGAGGCAAAAGAATTGCTTAAACCTGGGAGGCAAAGGTTGCGGTGAGCCAAGATTGTGCCACTGCACTCCTGCCTGGGCAACAGAGTGAGACTCCGTCTCAAAAGAAAAAAGTCAATTAATCCAATAAAAAAAGCTAATAGTAGTAAGACATACATCTAAACATATCAATATTTACATTAAATACAAATGGTGTAAACACAGCAATTAAACATAGATATATTTGAGATAGTAAAATAAGGCTCAAATATATGCTGCCTATAAAACACCCATTATAGGCCGGGCGCGGTGGCTCAAGCCTATAATCCCAGCACTTCGGGAGGCCGAGGCAGGTGGATCACAAGGTCAAGAGATCGAGACCATCCTGGTCAACATGGTGAAACCCCGTCTCTACTAAAAACACAAAAAATTAGCTGGGCATGGTGGCGCGTGCCTGTAATCCCAGCTACTCAGGAGGCTGAGGCAGGAGAATTGCCTGGAGGCAGGTGAATTGCCTGAACCCAGGAGGCGGAGGTTGCAGTGAGCCGAGACTGCACCATTGCACTCCAGCCTGGGTAACCAGAGTGAAACTCCGTCTCAAAAAAAAAAAAAAAAAAAAAAAAAAAAAAAAAAAAAAAAAAAAACCACCCATTAACCCATTATAAATATTATATAGGAGGTTGGTTAGAGACAAAAGGATGAAAAAACCCCACAAAAACACTAATTAAATTAAGACCAATCAAAAACCTCAGAAGAATTTTTTGCTTTCGTAGAGACATAGAAAGGTGTAAATTCAAATCAAAGAAGAAAGGAGAATCTTTGTAGTAATAGTGTCAGGACAATTTGACATCCATTCCCAAAAACAAAACTATAAAACTCACAATAGGAAACATGAGAAAATCTTTGTGACCTGGCATCAGGCAAAGAGTTCTTAGACGTGATACCAAAAATATAATTCATAGAAGAAAAAAATTGGATTTGGATTTCATAAAAATAAAAAAGTTTCACTCTGCAAAAGACACTTGTAAAAGACAAGCAATTAACTGTGAGACAGTATTTGACAGGGGTTGTGTCCCTAGAATATATAAAGAACTTTCAAATCTCAACAATAAGAAAACAACTCAATGTTAACCCTATGCAGAAAAACACACTCACACACAAATCTGTATATGAATGTTTATAGCAGCTCTATTTATAGATGCCCCAAACTGGAAACAACCCAAACAAACTATGGTACATCCTTATAATGAAATATTAGCAGCCGGGCGCGGTGGCTCAAGCCTGTAATCCCAGCACTTTGGGAGGCCGAAGTGGGTGGATCACAAGGTCGAGAGATCGAGACCAACCTGGTCAACACGGTGAAACCCCGTCTCTACTAAAAATACAAAAAATTAGCTGGGCATGGTGGTGCGTGCCTGTAATCCCAGCTACTCAGGAGGCTGAGGCAGGAGAATTGCCTGAACCCAGGAGGCGGAGGTTGCGGTGAGCCGAGATCGCGCCATTGCACTCCAGCCTGGGTAACAAGAGCGAAACTCCGTCTAAAAAAAAAAAAAAAAGAAATATTAGCAACAAAAAGAATGAACTATTGATACACACAGTGACTAGGATGGTTCTCAAAGGCATTACACTAAGTGAAATAGGCCAATATAAACTTTTTAAGTTAAAAACTATTTAAAAAACTGATATTTATAAGTCACATTTATCCAGCAATCTTTGATAGTCAAAAATATTAACAAAACTTTATGGGGCAGAATGTTCATATCATCTTTTAATAGCAAAAGTCTAGAAACAAAGAACATATCCAAAAAATAGAATATCTGTTAAATTATTATGCATCTTATGAGAATATTAGCCAAAAATGACAATAATATGTGTGGGGAAATGCTTATAATATAATGATAGGTAAAAAAAAAAAATTGAACCGAAAATGATACATACATATAAGTATGTGTATGTGGTTTTTTTTGTTTTTTGTTTTTTTTTTTTTTTTTGAGACGGAGTTTAGCTCTTGTTACACAGGCTGGAGTGCAATGGCGCGATCTCGGCTCACCGCAACCTCCGCCTCCTGGGTTCAGGCAATTCTCCTGCCTCAGCCTCCTGAGTAGCTGGGATTACAGGCACGCGCCACCATGCCCAGCTAATTTTTTGTATTTTTAGTAGAGACGGGGTTTCACTATGTTGACCAGGATGGTCTTGATCTCTTGACCTTGTGATCCACCCGCCTCGGCCTCCCAAAGTGCTGGGATTACAGGCTTGAGCCACCGCGCCCGCCCTGTATGTGTTTTAAAAGTAAGTAATTTATGTTAAAGATGAGTGGAATCCAAAAATATTTATGCAAATATTAACAGTAGCTATCCTTGGGAGACAGATGATACTCATTGTCTTTACACTTTTCTGTGTTGTTTAGAGTTCCCCAAAGAACATAGGATATTTCCATGATTTCATTCCTGGATCACTTTAGACATCCAAGTTTTATTAAATAAATGCTGAATGAATGTCCTCAAGCAGAACTCATGGCTTCCTCATCCATGCTGCCAGAACACTTGGCATTTATTGTCAGTTAAATCATCTATTCAGTAAATACCTATTGAGCATTTACTATGTCTGATACTTTACAAAGCATTGCTAGTATAGAACTTATCCCACCAAATTATGGCTAGTCGTATTCACATCTAGGTATGTATGCAACTAGATTGTGTTCTACTTGGATTTGGAACTGAGTCTCATTCATCTTTCTACTGCCAGAGCCTAATACAAGCTGTAACATAGGTGACATTCAGTAAACGCTTGTGAGACTGAATTCTTGAAAATTCCTAAAAATGCCTATTTGGGGATGTTAATGGTTCCTAATATCTTATTCTAGAATAGAATAATTAAATGTTACTCTCCTAGCACATTTATACCATTACTTTCGTTTACTCCATAAGCCACATAAACTTCAGCTCTAAACACTCAAAATACCACATTATTATGTTCTTAGCAAGGGATAATTTACCTTTGGGATTTACAAAGACATGCTGAAGTCTTCTTTATAAGAAAAAAGAAATTGTGAACTAAGTGTTTCTTTTTCAAGCTCTGGACAATCTCAAGCACTTCATGGCAGGAGAAATGTTCAGCACTATACCATTGGGGGAGTTATTTAGTCTTGACCTTAACTACAAATAATTTTATGTTCTCGAGTATAGGATTCACAATTTTATCTCAGCTAGTATAAACCGTAGGTGTTTTTCTTATTTATAAAAATGTCTTATCCTTTATAAAAATCCCTAAGCTACTTTTATATAGTGATTATTCCTGACAATATTTGCTTTATACTTAAAAGGGGGGCCATGGCGTTGATCAGGGGGAACTGTAACTGCTTGCCATCCACCTGCAATGATTTCAAGTAGGCAGGCACATCTCCAATTTCTGTGAATTGTACTAAGATCTTATTTGCTGTTATTGCTAATCTGTCTTTATTTTTTCCTTACCCAGAACAATAACATTTCTGCCCGGCCTCATTTATGCACAGATATTCAATTTAATTACAAAGATAATCTCACCAATGACAGGGAAATAGGTATACAAAATTGGTCTTTTGGATAAGGCACAGCTGCTACAGAAACAATTTTAGAAAAGCTTAAGATTTTAGAAAAGCTATTATATAAAAAGAATGCTTACTGTTTATTTACTTCAAGAAAATGATAAAGATTAAATGTGACCATTCCACTAGGTAATATTCCTTCCACAGGATTCCACCGGTTCCCAGGAAAGTTGACACCTGGCAAGTGCTTTGCCATCTTGGGTAAATACCACTCGTAAGTCATCATCTGCCAAAAGTCACACATAATGTCAGCCTTTTAACATATTTCTTAATAAGAATCAAGTTTATCAAGTAATGGCAAAAACCTCAATTACTTTTGCACCAACCTAATATGTACATAATTGAAAATATAAGCACAACTGAAGATGTGGCACTGATTACTTTTTTAGTGATGTAAACCTTAGATTTTATGATGACTGTCATCAGTCACATTAGTACCTTCTTCCAATTTACCTCCCGTGTTTGACTCCCCAGAAGGACCTTCCCCTATTCTTATACCTAAAGCAGGGGTCCCCAAACTGTGCTGCATAGCAGGAGCCAGCTTTACTACCTGTGCTCCACCTCCTATCAGATCAGTGGCACCATTTGGTTTTCACAGGAGCATGAACCTATTGTTAAGTGCACATGTAAGGGACCTAGGTTGCATGTTCCTTATGAGAATCTAATGCCTGATGATCTGAGGTGAAACAGTTTCATCCCAAGACCATTTCCCACTCCCACCCGCACCCCCAATTACCAGTCTGTGGAAATATTGTTCTTCATGAAACTAGTCCCAGTGTGTAAAAAAGGTTGGGGACTGGGTGGGTATGGTGGCTCATGCCTGTAATACCAGCACTTTCGGAGGCCGAGGCGGGTCAATTACCTGAGGTCGGGAGTTCGAGACCAGCCTGACCAACAAGGAGAAACCCTGTATCTACTAAAAATACAAAGTTAGCTGGGTGTGGTGGCCAGCTACTAGGGAGGCTGAGGCAGGATAATCACTTAAACCCAGGAGGCAAAGGGCGCTGTAAGCCGAGATTGCGCCATTACACTCCAATCTGGGCAACAAGAGCAAAAATCCATCTCAAAACAAACAAAACAAAACAAAACAAAACAAAAAAAGGTGGGGGACCACTAACCTAGAGAACATGTATTCAACTTTCAGAACCAGTGTAAATATCACTTCCTCTGAAGCCCTATTCTGTCTCCATAGCTGGAATGACATGTTCCTCTAGCACTCTGTACCTAGCTTTATTATAGCCTGTTTCTCACCAGACTGTGAACTCCCAGAGAAAAGGCACTGTATTTTTTCTTCTGTGTCCCTGCACCTAGCACACTGCCTGGCATAGAATAGTTCTCAATTCATTATTATTATTACTCTGAGACAGATTCTCATCTGTCACCCAGGCTAGAGTGCAGTGGGGTGATCTTGGCTCACTGCAACCTCCACCTCCCAGGTTCAACCAATTCTCCTGCCTCAGCCTCCTGAATAGCTGGGATTACAGGCACACACCACTACGCCCAGCTCATTTTTGTATTTTTGATAGACACGGTGTTTCACCATGTTGGCCAGGCTGGTCTCGAGCTCCTGGCCTCAAGTGATCTGCTTACCTGGCCTCCCAAAGTTCTGGGATTATAGACGTGAGCCACTGCACCCAGCCAGTTCTCAAATTATGTTTGCTGAAGTTGAAATGCCTTTGACAGTCAGACTAGACAACGTAGACAAAATAGCCATTCCTTTAGTCATTCAAAAAAACAAGTATGCTTAGCTATAATGAATAAGATATAATCCCTGCACTGGAGAAGCTCAGTCATATAATAATCTAGGCCTCAAACTTAGAAACTCTTTTGGTATTTCAAATTACCTAAATTTATTAGTACTGCTATATTAATTACATATCCTTACAAGTTCTTTTGATTTAAAAAATTTGCTTATATTAGAAAAAATCATTTTACTTAATTCTATACTTAATTCTATACTTTGATGTGTATCTATTAACTCTTTTTAAAGTGACCCTCATTTACATCACCAAAGCTTTGTTATGTTTGGATCTCATCATTGGAGAAACTGTGCTTATGTTTTACTTACGCTAAAGCATTAAGTCATTTAGTGAATGACAAATTTTAATCTAAGTATAAATTGTAAATACTCAAAAATCCTTACTGAATGAGGCTTCATTACCCAATAGTTCCAGTTCTTGAGGATATTAATTACATACCCACTGTGTGCTATGGATTTTATTGTTCCTCATTTAATTCTCATGATAACCCTGCTATGTGAGAATAATTCTGTCAGACACTGTTGAATGCCCATCAACAGTGAATACCCTGTTCTTTCTCACTAATGCAAACTTGATTTTGATCAGCTGGCTGAGGCTGCAATGCTCTCAGGTCTAGTCATTCTCCTTTGCTAATGAGCAGTTTAGGTGTGAGTCTATGACTAGGTATTGGTCAGTGGGGCCTGGGTGGAGGTCTGCTGGGGGGCTTCTGGAGCACATGTTAGTCTCATTAAGTAGAAAAAGAGTGGGAGATGCCCCAGAAGAAGCACGATGCTTTGTTTTAGGTTGCGATGTTTGGAACTAGACATCCATCCTGTGACTGGAAGAAAAAAGTCAAGAGAATGGCAGAAAAGCTGCCCCAGAAACGGACGTCCCTGAACTGCTCAAATTATCAATCCTAACATCACCTATCTCCAGACTGCTTGTTGTGTGAGGCTAAAAAAATCAGTAATTTGGCCGGGCGCGGTGGCTCAAGCCTGTAATCCCAGCACTTTGGGAGGCCAAGGCGGGTGGATCACGAGGTCAAGAGATCGAGACCATCCAGGCCAACATGGTGAAACCCCGTCTCTACTAAAAATACAAAAACTTAGCTGGGCATGGTGGCACGTGTCTGTAATCCCAGCTACTCAGGAGGCTAAGGCAGGAGAATTGCCTGAACCCAGGAGGCAGAGGTTGCCGTGAGCCGAGATTGCACCATTGCACTCCAGCCTGAGTAACAAGAGTGAAACTCCGTCTCACAAAAAAAAAAAAAAAAAAAAATCAGTAATTTAACTCAGGTATTTCTGTGTCTTGCATTCAGATGCATCCTAATTTATTTAATAATGACTTCCATTTCATAAACAAGGAAACAGAAGCTCTGAGAGGAGAAAAATCATTAGCCCCATGTCACATATCCAGGAAGTGACAGAATGAGGACTTGAGTTTAGGTCTAATTCACTTTCTAATCCATGCTTCTCAAGTACAGTAGCTGACATCCTAAACAGTATTTAAAATCACAGTGTGGAACTACGTTATTAACACGTAACCTAGCTTCCGTCAGACACCAGACTGAAGATCAAATTAATCAATCTGCATACATGATATAAATGCAACTGCATGTAAAAACATAAAATTGTGTATTTATAAATCTGTTGATAAAGTTTTCTCTAAAAATTGTAATTATTCATTAATTCAACAAAATGCAGTAAGTACTATGCCTAATAATTTGTTCAATTGAATTCATATTAGTCTTTTAAGATTAGAATTCCTCTTTTCTTAATGACTACTCTAAAAACACCAGAGATAGGTGTTCTTCCCTTTTATCTATCTAAGGCTTAAATAATAAATCTTATAGTTTAAATAGTTCAATTAAAAAAATTGTTTTCATAGCCCTCAAAATTTCACAAGTCCTCTCCTAATGTATTTTTGTCATAGCATTACAAAGTTTACGTAAAAATTCTATAGCATAATTGTGGTGAATAATTTGTTTCGAGTGAAATGTTTACTTACCCACAGTATGATTTATTTCATACTCAGTATCATTTCTTTTAGTCCTTGAACCAATGAGCAAAGTTAATTTGAATGGCTGAGTTAGCTGAATGTAAAATAACAATTTTAAAATAGATTTACAATACAGCAAACGATTTTATGGTTTGTCACATGAACTAGAGACCTAAAATATTATGACTCTAACATGAAAACATTAATTCTTAAAACATTCAGTTTAGATGTTTTGAAAGGAGAAAGAGGCAACTAGTGTGATTTACACTGTTAAACGAAAGAATGTCATATTCTACCTAACAGTGATCATGAAAACTGTACCCATCCACTGTTTTAAAGAAGACAGTTTTTTCCAAAACATACGTTTTTAAATCATTGCTATATTCTAAGTGTATTTTTCATATACTTACTTCCTGATCAACTAGGGAAATGTCAGGTCTCAATCCCTCACAGTAATGCATGTAACGGAGAGAATTCCCAGGCAAATCTCCTCTGAGTAAGATAATTGCATCATGAGGCATGGAGGTGAGAAGGTTCTTTGCAAATTTATCAATCACATAGTTGGTCGTTTGGTCACAAACGCTAAATAAAATGATCCAAAAAAAATTAAAATAGCAACACTTTGCTACAGTTTTCCTAACACTGGGCTTATTTTCTATGTCATTCCTTTCCTATTATACAACCAATATTTAGTGTTTCAATATATTCTAAAATAATACATAATTTGAAGAGAACACTATCGTCTGATAAAAAAAAAGCAGCAGCTAATTGTGTAATTGAAAAAAATCAGTCTACTGCTTACTTCTGGAATTTATAATCATTTCCACAAAAACGGAATTAGTGTATAAGAATAGGTCCCTTTTCCCCCCAAGTGCAACCCAATCTTATTTAAGGCAATTTCATGTTAATTCCATTTACTCAAAGGAACTTTCAGAAACGCAAAAGGAAATCTGCCCATTTCTGACTTGAATTTGTATGATTTTCTTGCAGGCAGCAGTTGATCCTTCCACTTCTCCCCATGAATCACAGGCCTCCTGTGTTCCTCTCTGCCTTTCGAGATCAAGAAATCGCTAAGGGGATGAGACCAATGAGAAGCAAGGGGAGGAAGAGTTTACTGAGTGGTTTACTTCTCTCCAGGCATTATTTGCTACTGCCAACAACTCCATTCTTTTCAAGAATAAAGTGAACTTTCTAACTTTAAAGAAAAACTGGCATGAATTCTGAGTCCATTATATGAAAACAGAAGACGATGACAAGACAGTAGTAAGTATCAAAAAAATCAGACAAGCAATGTCCTTCCTGTTATGACCAGGTCCATTACATTGGATGGAGCTGAGAAACACAGCCGAAAGCTGAATCACCAGGTTAGTATCATGAAGCAAATGAGCACCTCCAGGAACAGAATATTATCCCTGCCTTTGCAATTCATGTAAAAATCACTGTTTCCTACCTGATTCCCTACGCTACAGAGTGATGAGGCACATTGTGCCACCTAGCAAAGGTGCTACGTATTCCATTCCCCTGAGGCAAATAAAAAAAAATCAAAAGAAGATAAAAACACCTAGCCTGTGCAAACATGTCTCATGCTAAACTTGGACTGCCCTAATAGCCTGAGCCAGGAGATAACTGGGATTAAAAAAGGTTGGGACACACACTGTGGGCTTGGTGAACCTTCTTGAGCTAGTGAAGATGTGCCCAGGACATGCAGCCCCTTCTCTCAAGGCCTCCTAGTGGCCTTTCTACCACCAGCTGTATTCCAGTATTATAAAGAACAATGTGGTTTTTTTTTTTTTTTTTTTTTAAACTTTTATTTTCGGTTCAGGAGTGTATATGCGGGTTTGTTATTTGTTACATAGGTAAACTCGTGTTTGTTGTACAGATTATTTCATCACCCAGGTACCGAGCCTGGTTTCCAAATGGTTATTTTTTTTTCTGACCCTCTCCCTCCTCCTAGCCTCCACTCTCAAGTAGGCCCCAGTGTCTGTTGTTCCCCTCTTTGTGTCCACGAGTTCTCATCGTTTAGCTCCCACTTACAAGTGAGAAGACACAGTATTTGGTTTTCTGTTGCTGTGTTAATTTCCTAAGGATAGTGGCCTCCAACTCCAACCATGTTCTGGCAAAGGACATGATCTCATTCTTTTTATGGCTGCATCGTATTCCATGGTATACATGTGCCACATTTTCTTTTTCCTACCTGCCACTGATGGGCATTTTGGTTGATTTCATGTCTTTGTTATTGTGAACAATGCTGTAATAAACATTTGCATGCATGCGTCTTTTTGGCAGAATGATTTATATTCCTTTGGGTATATACCCAGTAATAGGATTACAGGGTTGAATGATAAGATCATTTATTGGTTTTTAAAGTTAAAAATTAATCCTTTAAAACAATACCAGTCAAATCTCACTATAGTAAAATTCCAAGGGACTGTCTTCCAATTCCATAATGTGTACTTGATATTGCTGGAAACAAATGAACTATAATTTAAGACATCTTTTATGTTAGACTGAGATTCTTATTGTAATGATTATTAGATTTTGAGAAATACATGTAATATTAGTAATACATGAGTTAAGAAACTTTTAGAACTTAATTTAAAAAATAATTAAGGCTGGCGTGGTGGCTCACACCTGTAACCACCACTCTGGGAGGCTTGCTTTAGGCCAGGAGTTCAGGACCAGCCTAGGCAACATGGTGAGACCTTGTTTCTACTAAAAAAAAAAAAAAAGACAAGACAAAAGAAAAAAGGCATGCTAATAGTGGCATGTGCCCATAGTTCCAGCTACTGAGGAGGCTGAGGCAGAGACCTGCTTGAGCCCAGAAGTTGGAGGCTGTAGTAAGCTACGATCATGCTACTGTACTCCAGCCTAGGGGACAGAATGGGACCTTGTCTCAACAAAAATTATTATTTACTACCACAGAGTCAAGTGGACATAAAGTAAGGCATAAAGTCAATTATTTTAGGATATACAAAAAGACCCTAAATCATTTTACTCTTTACCTAAGTGTTATTTCAGGTCATGGAATTTTACCTATACTATGGATTCTAAAAGTATCTCTAGCGTTCTTTAGAGAGAAAGAGAGAAAAAGATACAAACAGTCCACATGCACCACCTAAACTCTTGTTTGCAATGGCCTGAAACCATACATCAGCCATGCTGACTCTGGTTCTGGAGGTTTAACAATCCCAAAAGTTAAAGAACGACTGCATTCAACCAAGCTGTCTCACTTTGAGTCTTGAAAACCAGTAGAAGTTAAAAATGAAATAAACTGGTTGAATCTAAATACTCAGCTATCTCTGGCTTGATAGCTACTTCTCACAAAAAGAACCATGTGTTACCTGTAATTAGAATACATTTGGTAAACTACAAAAAGAGTTGCAGAAAGCCATTCCAGACACTGAAGCCCACTGTTATTCAGCACTCGGTTAGTCTCAGACACAAGTGCGGCCAAACCAGTGCCAGCGAGGACAGCCACTACTGCATTGCTCTGCATCCAGAATCGTTCCACCTGTGAAAGAGACCAGTAGGTCCAGTTGACTAGTTTATGCTATCGATCAGGTACTTACAGATTTTTAAAATATACTGCATAAACCTAGTTGCATGTGCCTGTTGTCATTCAGATTTTGTTAGCTGATTTCCCCCATCCAAGCCCAGGTCATATTGTTTTTCTATTTTCAAACATTCTTCCTTCTCAGTTTGACAGGTGCATCTCCCTTTTTAGATCCACACATTCACTTCAATACTGTGGCCTTACTCTTGAACTCCAGTAATACACAGGCTGAAAGAGGTAGAGAAATGCTTTTGCTTTACTCCTGACGTTTCCTTCCACAGGGAGAAGCTCCACTGTCCTGGCCTCTCTCGGACCCCTCACGTATTTCCTCCTGTGGGATGTAGGGACTGATCCAACTGGGGAGTTTGGGAGCTGGGAATCAGCCTGCAGGGCCTTCCCTTTTCCTCTCACCTTTTCCTAGAACTGAGCTACCCACAGGAAGCACTTGACCAGGGACAGAGTCTGTCTCTATGGCACCAGTGGGGTGGGGGAGACATGGGAAGAGGTCTGCCCTGCACAGTACTGCCTGTGACTAGTGGGTAAATCTGCTCATTCTGAGATGCTAAAAGAGGAAGCCTTCTTGGCCAAATATATAAGCCACATTTTCAAGTCTCAGTATTATCAGTAATAAAGGTGATTCTCTCACCCGTTATACTGGATTACCTTGTTTCTCAATTGATTCAGAACTCAGGTGATCAAGTAGGGTATTATTTATTAGGCTTCCTGAACACAGACACACACACAAAAAGACCAGTTGGTTTCAGCTGTCAAAAAAAAGCTATTGATATTTACAGAGATTTTATTATAAGTAGAAGAAATACTCTAATCTCAGAGACTGCTGCCAAGGAAAACAGAAACACAGTTGCTCTTTTGCCTAGGCCTGGGATGGGGAAGATAAGAAATAAGGCAGTATGTGGTTAAATGCCCTCAATTGTAATTCATATTTCTTTTGCTATTAAAAAATTCCAGGAGAAATGCTGTGTTGCCTATATGTGCAAACACACACACACACACACACACACACACACACACACGACTGACTTAAATCTACCTTACATTTATTTTTCTATTTAACGAGTGTGTTAATTAAACATTGCATTCTTTTCATCCTAAAAAGAGGCCTTAGCTGTACTGACTCAATAATTTAACTTAATGTACATACAATTTTAACTATTCCTCAAGTAATCTGCTCTTCTACAAGATTCATGAAATGCAAATTTGTACATTCTTCTCAAACATTCTGGTCAATAATATATCTATATCCAAGTAAAACTTACCACACCCATGAAAAGTGGTTTTGAAATATCTAAATTTGCTCTCCAAGCAAAGAACAATGAATAAATGCAAAACATTCCGGTAAAAAGCCAAACTAATGATGGATTCGGCCTGTCCCTACAAAAGATAATAAAAATATATCTAAAATATTTATATACATATACAGGAATATCAATAATAATATCACAGGACTGTAAGCTATTAGATCTATAAAAACTTTCCATTTTTAACTAGGATCAAATAGAGATGCCATTGTTTAAAATCTGAGTTGAAACAAACAAAATATAGTAATAAATATGAACCACAACTTGGAACTATGCAGTAAAAGAATATAAAGCTAACATTCACAGAAGAAATACAAACTACTAATTTTGTTAAATTTCAGAAGTGATCAAATGTATGCAAAACAAATATTTTCATGCTTGAAATAATAAAGATTTAAGAATGATAAATCTCAATGCTGGTGTGAATGCAGCAGTATGACAGTATATGTCAGTATAATCCTTCAGAAAAGTTACTTTAATAACATCTATATCAGGAGCCTTAAAAATAGTCATAATCATTGACTCAGTTATGTGACATGCAGGCATAAATCTTTAAGCAATAACCAGAAATGTGAATAAAGATTAATCCATAAAAATGCTTGGGTATTACTTATAATAGTGGAAAGAGTGGAAGCAATCTAAAGACTTCTCAATAGAAGATTTAAATTAATTCTCCTGTGGTCATAGGATGTTATTTAGACATTTAAATGATTTTAAGTATTTTTATAGTATGGAAAAATGTTCATAATACCATGTTTAAGTGTTAAGTAAACAAAACTATAGACACGTATGCAAATATACACATTCAAAAGACTGGATAATTAATTAATTAATAGGTTTTACAGTGCTACATTTTTCACGGTTTCTTTTCTCATCAGAGGTTACTTTTATCATCAGAGGAATTTAAATAATTGCTTCTTTTTAAGATCAGCACTAATAATCGGTTACGGCAAAGTAAGAGATCAAGCCTGAAGTTTAGGACATCAAATGACTGCCTACTTAGTAATATATTGCTCAATTTCTTGAAATCATTGATTTAGAATCAGAATAAAAATAAGAAAGCAATACATATGTATCTTAATAGACAGCTAGGAGATTCACTTATTTGAAGTATAAAATAATACTAGCAATGTCCTAAAGTGACATAATGAAAACATTAATTCATTTCATGAACACAGAAAAATAAGAGAAAAGGGCATTCTATTCCTTACTTTCTTGATAAACATATATTTGCACAAACTGCAAGGGCCTGGATGTTGAATGAGAGTTCGGTCCTCATATTTGTGACCTGAGAACTGTAAAAAACAACTTAACTTATTGTTGGCAGAAAACAATTTGATTAATTCCAAATAAAATATACTTTGTAGGATACATTTGATTATATACTGAACAAACATAAGGGCTGCGGTCAGATTTAAAAATTTTGTCTTTTAAAGTTGGAAGACAAAGCGCAACAGAAAGAGTTAAATAGTTCCAAGATGTTTTCTAATTGTAACATGTGGTTACCAACTTACTTAATTTGGAATAAGATCAGAACAAATAATGCTTCTGTAGTTTTGATACTGGATTCCTGTACAGAATATCCCTGACTGGTTTGGTAGGAAGCTCTTTGAAATGAGTTTGAATTTTTTTCTGTTGGCAGTGTAGACATGGTCAATAGTGATTTAGCAACTGATTATAAAATTAATTCGAATAGCTTTCTGGAGATCTAATATGAAGAAAACAAAGGCCATGAGAGATGATTCCCAGCTATTCTTTTGCAGGTTATCTTTTTTCTTACATGGCTTCCTTGTTTTCTATATTATTTGCTTTAGTTCGAAAAACATTTAAGCAATCTCAGAGAAATGTATTATTTTTTTTTCCTACAATTAAACTAAATTCTTCCATTAACACATATGCATTTTCAGATGCTGAGTTCTAAAATAGCTTCTGTTCTAGCTGTCTCCAATTTTTAAAAAAGAAATGACTCTATACATCATCTCAAAGAACTTTCTTCTCCCTACCGGCAATTTTACTGGAGAAAATGTGACACCATAATTATGGACCCCACACAATGTGTATTTTACTAATGAAGACTCATCTACTATGAGATACTCATTTTCAAATACACTTGAAAAATTGATTCCAGCATGAGGCCCATTTCAAACCACGCTTCAAAAGGAATAAAGTCAGTCTCAAAATTAATTCTTGGAGATCTATTGCTTAAGTGTAAGTGCAAAAAGATGGTCACTGCCTAAGGTTAGATTCAATAATTTCCTTGTACAGGATTGTAATTTAGAGATATGCATGGGGAAAAATTTAATTTGCTTGCCTGAAAAAGGGCAGATGATGAGCTCCTATCATTTTGAAGGATTTTCTCATCAGTTAATCACAAGTTGCATTTTTCAGCACTCCTGCCCACCCAAAAAAATTCAAGACTAGAAATTCTCATTCAGGGAATGCTAAAATTATACCTTCATTCTACATGATGACTTGGTCCACACAAAAGTATGAGTGTGAATGGTCATCACTTTTGTCAAGTCTTTTTTCTGGGGATACAACCTGCTATTATTTTAATGTAAAGGAGGCCTTTAAGTCTCCCAATAGATGACTTTTACATGCAACTAATAAAAGTTAGACATATGGTCTAGGATTACTCTGAGAGTTCTTTGGAGTTCATGTAGGGTTTGCTAAGGCAAAACTATACCAGTTATCCTTAATGCTATAAGAATCTCTGGAAGGTAGACAGAAAAGAGAAGGCAGTGAGTCCTGCATGGAGCAAAGCAGAATAAAGTAAAAGCCCAGAGACACTGATATGACTGTCTTTATCTTTATTTCATTTATTTATTTTTTGAGACAGCGTCTCACTGTGTCACTCAGGCTGGTGTACAGTGGCACGATGATGGCTCATTGGAGGCTCAACCTCCTTGAGCTCAAGTGATCCTCTCACTTCAGCCCCCAGAGTAGCTGTGACTACAGGCACATGCCACCATGCCTGGCTAATTTTTTAAAAAAATCTTTTGTAGGCTGGGTGTGGTAGCTCACTCCTGTAAGCCCAGCTTTTTGGGAGGCTGAGGCAGGTGGATGATTTGAGGTCAGGAGTTTGAGACCAGCATGGCCAACATAGCGAGACCCTGTCTCTACTAAAAATAACAAAAATTAGCTGGGTGTGGTGGCACGAACCTGTAATCCCAGATACTCAGGTGGCTGAGGTGGGAGGATCACTTGAACCCAGGAGGCAGAGGTTGCAGTGAGCAGAGATCATACCACTGCACTCCAGCCTAGGTGACAGAGCAAGACTCTTTCACAAAAAAGAAAAAGTTTTTTGCAGAGACAAGGTCTCACTAAGTTGCCCAGTCTGGCTTCAAACTCCTGGGCTCAAGCGATCCTCCCACTTTGGCTTCCCAAAGTGCTAGGATTACAGGCATGAGCCACTGTACCCAGAGCTATCTTTATTTCTGAAAAGAAAACTGAGCTTCCTGTTCCATTCCCCCAACGAAAAGGAGAAAGCCACAAAAGTCTCACACATAAAAAGAAATATTAAAAACCAATGGTGAGAACCATCAAAAGGTTATGTGAAAATAACTGATGGCAGGGAGATATTTTCAAGATATGATGTAAAGTGAAAAACAGAAGGCCAATAAAACAGTAGGTTTACTGTGGTCCTACTTTTAAAAATAAACAAAAATCCTAAAACTATTAGAAAAAATATAGTCCAAAGTATTAACAGATTAATAATAGTGGTTATCTCTACATGTTGGATTTATAGGTAGTTTTTACTTTCTTAATTTTGCTTACCTGTATTTTCTATAAAGATTATGTATCTTTTTTGGAAGTAGAAAAAAGAAGTTTAAAAAGAAAGGAAGGAATGATGGCTGGAAGAAAGCAAGCTAGTAAGTAAATTACACCAAAATCGTGAGAACTCATGAACTGCCTCACATATAAAGTTGAAATATTCTCCTCATAGTTTTTTTCAAACAGCCCCAAGAGTTCTAAATTAGTAATTAGTTAGGATTACTTTTGTGTTATAGAAACCTATTTTCTTCCAAAATTTTTTATCAAGTTGGGATGGATATCTTTCCACTTGTCTTAATCTGTAGGTTTTAAAGCAAATATTAACCCAGTTTTCAAAGAACACTACTGAATAATATAGATAGAAATATATTTGCTTAAACCAGCTCTAATAAGGTTGGATGTTAAAAATATGTAAGTTAAAGACAGAGCTTATGGCAAGGATAGCCTAAAGAAGTCATAGGAGACATTACATAAATTAAGCTCTGAAGAATTAAAAACCAAAATAACAAGAAAATAATTGTTCAAATTGTGCTGAATACAATGTACATAAAATAAAGACAATGTAAAAGCCAAAACAAACAATACATTATTTATAAAACAATACTACATTGACTGGGTAATTTTATATCCAATTGAAGGTTAAAAAACATTTTAGTTCTACAAATGCTCTATATGGTACCCTAATATTCTCATTCACTGTTGTGTTTATTGCTCATTTTAAGCTCTTACTGAAGGAGGTGCTAAAAAATATTTGACGGTACAGTTGACCCTCGGTATCCATGGGTCTGCCTCTGTGGATTCAACCAACCTTAAATCAAAAATATTTGGGGAAAAGAACTGTCTTTACAAACATACACAGACGCTTTTTTTTTTTCTCTCCTCCCGCCCCCAGATGCTTTTTCTTGTCATTATTTCCTAAACAATACAGCATAACTATTTACATAGCATTTACATTGTACTAGGTATGATAATCTAGAGAAGATTTAAAGTATACAAGCAGATGTACACAGGTCATATGCAAATATTATGTCACTTTGTATCAGGACTTGAGTACCCATGGGCTTTTATAACCTCAGGAGGTCCTATAACCAATACTCCATGGATACTGAGGGACAACTGTAAATACAAACAACTGTTAACTGCAGAGGCAAAAACTACTTCTCAGACACACTTTGCTACAAAGAGATAAACTCAGAAATCCCTAAAATCACTTAAAGGAACTAACAGAGAATTCATTTTAAAATCGTTTCAAATATTTTATACTCACAGTAGTATTTCAGACATACTGGATCCTACTTCAGATTTGGCCTAAACACAAAAAACAAACGTTTATTTGCATAAGCATTAAACTGAAGCTTTATTAGGCTACTGTACTTTGACAATCTTAACTTAAAACATGCCTGTGCAGGTTTGTTACACAGGTAAACTGCATGTCAACGGGGTTTGGTGTACAAATTATTTCATCACCCAGGTAATAAGCATAGTACCCAATTGTTTTTTTGATCTGCTCCCTCCTCCTACCCTCTGCCCTAAAGTACATGTATCCATGTGTGCTTAATGTTTAGCTCCCACTTATAAATTAGAACATGTGGTATTTGGTTTTCTGTTTCTGCATTACTTTGCTAGGACATAAACTCATTCTTTTTTACGGTTGTATAATATTCCATGGTGTTTTTGTATCGGATTTAAAAAAAATCCAGTCTACTGCTGATGGGCATTTAGGTTGATTCTAGGTCTCTGTTATTGTGAATAGTGTTGTGATGAAGATACTTGTGCATGTATCTTCCTAGTATAACAATTTCTATCCCTTTGGGTATACAGCCAATAATGGGATTGCTGGGTTGAATGGTAATTCTGTTTCAAGTTCTTTCAGAAATCGCTGCATTATTTTCCACGTGGCTGAACTAATTTACATTCCCACCTACAGTGTAGTAGTATTCTTTTTTCCGAAACCTCACCAGCATGTTTCTTGACTTTTTCATATAATAAAAGCCATTCTGGCTTGTGTGAGACTGCAGTTTTGATTTTCATTTCTCTAATGATTAGTGATATTTAGCACTTTTTCATATGCTTTTTGGCTGTGTGTATGTTTAAAAGATACAGGTTTTAAATGTACAATGCAACATTTCTCTTCTCTCAAAGTCTTTAATCAAGAGTCTTACTGAATTTTTAAAGAAGTCAGTGAAAACTAACTGAGACATCCTTTAGGAAGAATTTCAGAAATAATAATTGGCAGGCTGGGCACGGTGGCTCAGGCCTGTAATCCCAGCACTTTGGGAAGCCAAGGTGGTTGGATCACAAGGTCAGGAGTTCAAGACCAGCCTGGCCAGCATGGTGAAACCCTATCTCCACTAAAAACACAAAACAAAGGCAGAGCATGATGGTAATCCCAGCTACTTGGGAGGCTGAGGCAGGAGAATCACTTGAACCCAGAAGGTGGACGTTGCAGTGAGCCAAGATTGCGCCACTGCACTCCCACCTGGGTGATAGCAAGACTCTCTCAAAAAAAAAAAAAAAAACAAGTAACAATTGGCTAGAAATCAGCAAAACTATTCCAGCAAAAGTGATTAACATGTTAATAAATTAATAACCTTTTTATACTTCTATTATAGACTTTTCTTAAGCTCTTTATAGCACTTCGATTAAAATTCATTACAACCTGTTCATCTACAATTTCACAATTATGTATGAATAATATAAATTTCAAATCTAGAATGGTCCTTAGATGATATTTTTATGAAATAACCAAATAAGTAAAGCAGAATATAAATGTAAAGTATCAAATTCTCTAAGTCAAAATAATTAATAATTTTCCTTTTTATTAATCTATTTCATGTGAAATATCTCCTACATTAAAAAAACATATAGAATACATATCTAAGGCTCAAAGTGCTTTTTAAAAAATCTATAGATCCATCATTCATTTAAGAAACAAAACCTCATCAGTATCCTAAGGTATCTCACAAAGTCCTCAAAGACTTCTTCCTCATCCCACAGTAGTAACTACTACCTTGAATTTGGTATTATTTCCCTCTTTTTTATAAATATATGGTCCTACCACTTTTGTATGTATCCTTGATCAATAGATTGTTTAGTTTTCACGTGGTTTAGAGTTTTGTGTAAGTGGTATTATATACTAGGTACTCTTCTGAGACTTGCTTTCTTAAACCGGACACAAAAGTATAAACCAAGAAAGAAAAACCTGATATAACTATCTATACGAAAATAAAAAACCTTCTGCTTATCCTTTCATTTTTCAGATAAGTTTTACTGAGATTACATTTAATGTGTTCCCCTAACATGTCTTAGGAAAAGCAAGGCCTTTTGAACTTCTTTGGAACACACTGTTTTTCCATTTAGTGAACTTGTATCTTATGAGGCATTTACAGATATGTCTTCAGTTTTAATAACTAGATACTAACATAAACACTGTTCATCAAATATGTAAAAAAAAAAGAAAGAAGAAGAAGAAGTGGTTTGGTCACGGTAAATTTTAAAATTTGAGGATGTTTTTCCTTCAATCTTTTCCAGATAGTTTTATTCACAGATCAAGTGCCCATAGTGACTCAGTGCTAAGAAGACTCAAATGCTTCAAATGTAGATGGAAAACTTTTTAATGATTGCTATCCTAAAAAATATATTCAGGATATACAACTATATGATGTCAAATTAAGTGATTCTGACTTTCCTCTAACTTATATCAAAGGTCATATTCCGAGGGGCAAGTGTGTTATATAAATAACCAAAATAAAAATTCGTTCCACTGTCATTGATAAATATTGTTTTTGCAATCAAGGCCCAGGCAGAGCACCAAAGTTTTGCCACTTGTTTCCTTAGAAGGGCTTTAAATATGAATTTACCAGGCTGAAGGTTCCATATTCTTCCCTGAGAAAATGTGTCAAAAATCCTTGCAGTGTTGTCTGGTCTCCCCAGGTCCACCGGGCGTGATTAAGGTAAGATGAGATGGGAAGGTGGACATAGGGCAGCAAACCAGCAGAGAAGTACAGGCTCAACTTCAACAAAGAGCCCAGGGAGAGTTCCTGCATCAGAGCACATTGAGTGGTATAACAATGTTTATTTTAGTAGATTCATCCTGGAACTTCAAGAACATATCAAGGAAAACATGAAATATGTTTACTCAGAGCTGATCTCCCAATTTATATTAAGTCACCACAGAATACTATGTTAAACCTTCTGATTACTATGGATTACTAGAAAATTGCATCAGCGTGGACTCCTTTGCATGGCAGGTGAAAGCTGAGTGAAGCAAATAATATTAGCAAAGGCTCATGAGTATCATGTTTATTGTATCACTTACATTTAAAACCATGTCATGACAAGCAGCATTGCACGGCTAAGATAACCTGCTTGGAAGTGATTATGTGCTGTTTGGCTGATTTTGAATATGCCCAAAATACTATTCTAAGACCAATTCACTTCATCATCATCATTAGGAGTAGACTTCAACTATATATATTATTATGATTATACGTTGACTATTCTTTCAACAATGATTTTGAACATTTCACAGAAATGTTTGGCATAAATGAAACTAGCTTTTATATCAACTCCAAGCTCAACCAAATGCTTTTTTTCCCCTTCAATTTACATACAAGATGGACTACTAAAGAAAATTACTTGTTATATTTAACAATGCTGCTTCATATACCTTATTTAGAAAAAATACATTTCTCATTTGTATAATACTTTTCTTAAACAAAGGACAGTATCGACAATGTTTTATAAAGATTAAATCCAAAATAATATGAATTCTGGTATATTCAATCAATTCTTGCATATTAGAACCAAGATTCGAATACTGGTTAGTTAACTGGAAAAGGTGGTCTCCTACAAATATCATATTTGGAAATTGCCAATTTTTCCTTGACAAAAAAGAGAAATTCATATGTAAGAATGAATACAAGAATCAAGGTTCACATTCACCAGAAGTAGAACAAGCAGTTGATTTATATTAGCATTTTCAAATAAACATTCTTAATTGAAAATGAAGTGTTTTATTATAGTACTGATTTCATTTGAGATTTCTATAGCAGTAATGAGACTGCATAAAAAATGATGGCATGAAAGGAGTGTGAGAAATAATCTCACAGCATGCCTTTGCTATTCTTAAAAGTGGTTTTGGCTGGGCGCAGTGGCTCAAGCCTGTAATCCCAGCACTTTGGGAGGCCGAGGTGAGAGGATCACAAGGTCAAGAGATCGAGACCATCCTGGTCAACATGGTGAAACCCCGTCTCTACTAAAAATACAAAAAATTAGCTGGGCATGGTGGCGCATGCCTATAATCCCAGCTACTCAGGAGGCTGAGGCAGGAGAATTGCCTGAACCCAGCGGGCAGAGGTTGTGGTGAGCCGAGATTCGCGCCATTGTACTCAAGCCTTGGTAACAAGAGCGAAACTCCATCTCACCAAAAAAAAAAAAAAAAAAAAAAAAAGTGGTTTTAAAGAAAGTACATGCTTACTTTTGCACAGTTTCTGCATATTATAAAGTTGAATTTAGAATGTTAAGATGCAGTTGCTGCAGAATTTTCCTTTTGTGTGAGAAATAAAAAGGGAGACAATTACATGAGAGCTATTGCAGACAGTTGGGGAATAAGTAGTTCATAGTCTTGACTGCAGATGAAAATCACCTGGGAGCTTCTTAAAAACACTGATGTCTGGGCCTAACCCTAGATCACTTATATCAGAATTTTTTGGGGTAGAATCAAGTTTTAGCATAAATATGTGTATATATATACACCTATGTATGTAAGTGCATACAGATACATATATACGTATATACCTACATTACTATATATGCATGTACATCTATGTATAAATACACACAAACACACACTAACTTTCTATTTTTTTTGAGATGGAGTCTTGCTCTGTCGCCCAGGCTAGAATGCAATGGCATGATCTCAGCTCACCACAACCTCTGCTCCCTGGGTTCAAGCGATTCTCCTGCCTCAGTCTCCTAAGTAGCTGGGATTACAGGTGCCCAACACCATGCCCGGCCAATTTTTGTATTTTTAGTAGAGGTGGGGTTTCACCATGTTGGTCAGGCTGGTCTTGAACTCCTGACCTTGTGATTCGCCCGCCTCCACCTCCCAAAGTGCTGGGATTACCAATGTGAGCCACTGCACCCAGCCTAAACACAGACTTTTTAAAAGCTTCTCAGGTAATAAGCATTCAGGGTTAAAACCAACTGACTCAGGACTTTCTGCTCTGTCTCACATTACCTCACAGTGAAATCCAACTACCCTGTTACTTCATTGGTAGGCCTTATTTTCTAGCCTCTGCTTTTTAACTAATGGAAAATAAGCAGTCACAGTTCTCAAAATTTCAGCACTGTCTGGTAGCTCACCTCAGTACAGGGAAAATGTGCCCTTAGTCCAGGATCCAAAATTATCAACTCTGAATCCTCCATGTTTTACACGAAGTATATGCCTCTCCTTTCAATCAATGAACATGAAATATGAGCTGAGAATGCATCCCTCCCATGTCTGTTCAGGTCAGAAGCCTGGGTGAGATGACTGATACTAGAGGGAGATGTATCCATCTACCCCACTGATTCACAAGAGAAATATCTGGGCCTCCTTCTCATATTCCATAGGAAAGCTTCACTGAGTTATATTTGTTATCTCCATTTTTAATCAAGGGTTTATATAATAAAAGGCCATATAAAGAATTTGCTGTATACACTGTTAAAGACACCGCCTGTTATGCTGTTTAATAAGCTTTATATAAGGACTTACATGATTGACTTCACAAAATTCAGTGTCAAGGAAAAGTAATTTCTTGTCAGCTGCTATGTTTCCCTTTTATTTAACTTTTCTTTTTTCTTTTTTTTTTTTGAGACGGAGTTTCGCTCTTGTTACCCAGGCTGGAGTGCAATGGTGCGATCTCGGCTCACCGCAACCTCCGCCTCCTGAGTTCAGGCAATTCTCCTGCCTCAGCCTCCTGAGTAGCTAGGATTACAGGCACGCGCCACCATGCCCAGCTAATTTTTTTTTTTTGTATTTTTAGTAGAGACGGGGTTTCACCATGTTGACCAGGATGGTCTCGATCTCTTGACCTCGTGATCCACCCGCCTCGGCCTCCCAAAGTGCTGGGATTACAGGCTTGATCCACCGCACCCGACCTTTTCTTTTTCTTAATTTTTTTTTTTTTTTGAGACAGAGTCTCGCTCTGTTGCCTGGGCTGGAGTGCAGTGATGTGGATGGATCTTGGCTCACTGCAACCTCTGTCTCCTGGGTTCAAGCAATTCTCCTGTCTCAGTCTCCTGAGTAGGTGGGGCTACGAGTGCATGCCATCACCCCGGCTAATTGCTTTGCATTTTTAGTAGAGAGAAGGTTTCACTGTGTTGCCAAGCTGGTCTTGAACTCCTGAGCTCAGGTAATCCATCTGCCTGGGCCTCCCAAAATGCTGAGATTATAGGCGTGAGCTACTGCACCCGGCCCCTTTTACTTACTTTTTAATCACATCGTAAAACTTTTATAACCTCCAGGTTATCCTTTTTGGTTTGCTGTTAAGAAGCTAAGAAGCAAAATGTGTTCAAGTATAGTAAATATAGTTATCTAAAGCTTTGGTAAAATTATTTCTCATTTCTAGATAATAATTTTATTTATGTGTTTTCTATTATAATTCTGAATATAGCCAGGTATAATGAACAAATAATAAAAGGATAAATAAAGCTGGGTCTGTACACAAACAAACAATATGGTAAAAAGACTCTAGCACTGGCTTTGTATATAGACTATTTTAACCTCTGGGTACTAAATCTCTCAATGCCTAATGAAGTCATTTTCCTATGTTGCTTTATATTTGATTTTTTTCTTTCAGAGAAAGAAAAAATAACAATAAATCAGTTTTAAGTCTAGGGAATCCATTTTGAGAAAACAGAACTGTTATTTAGCAGAGATTTTATTATTCAGTTCACAATAGCAGTGATGTCTGTTTTGTTGAGGGCTGACTCTTCAGCACCTGGAACAAGCAAATGGCACAGGGCAGGGACTCCGTACACAGTTAAATGAGCAAGTAAGTATGATGGCACACCACTCTGTGTCTTAGAAGGTATCAAACAATAAGAAAATGTGATATTGTTGCTTTAGGACCTTTGAGCTCACTTTCACTGAGGTGCTGTTCAGAATCAGTCACAAAATTATGGAACATGCCAGATGCCACTGCAATCAATACTGCATAATTTCTGGAAATCCTATTTTTTTCAGTCAATATTGTTAGGCCCTAAGGTTATTTATGCTTTACATGAAACCTAAGAAAAATTAAAGCCTGAAATTTTCTTATAACAAAAATGTTATATTAGACCTAAGTAAAATATTGTACATTTTTATTTTTCAAAATTCAAAAACCTACCTTCTTTTTTAAAAGTCGAAAGAGAATCCAAGGTATTATGCACAAAACGTAGAGTATTATTGTGTGCTGGTTACATAAGCTGAGGCCACAGCAGAAAGCACCAATTTTAGTTATCTGAAAATAAATTTTAAAAATTAAGTAAAAAATTCACCTAAAACTCTAAGAACAATAATAAAAAGCCATTTTTATATTAAAACCAAGCATTTGTCTCATAAGTTAGGTTAAAAATCAACCTCTAAAACACAAGTAGTTACACCTTTAATAGTCCCTAATATTTATCACTATTTTTGTTAATAGTTTCCATGTTCATCAAATAATTGCAGTTTAATCTTAACTGTTTTCAAACCAACTTTTAGAAAATCCTTCATGATAAACAGCTAAGTTTTAATAGTAACAGGGTATTACGTAATGCTTATTGAAGTAAAATCTATAATTGAAATTCAGCCATTGCTTTTTCTCCTATTAAACAAATATAACTTCTTTTATTTAGAAGCCTGGTTATCTCTGGGTGATGTTTTTGAGTTTTCTGAATGTGTGTTAGTTTCATAATCAACAAAGATTCTCTCCTTAACCAAATTCAAGTCAGGCTCCTCTGAACTCCTCCCAACTGAGCCTTGACTTTTGGGGATCCATGCTCATCTCTGCATTGTCCAATTTTAGCATGAATCCTGCCAAATCAGTTTCACTAGAACCCTCATCCTCAATATCTGATCAAGTTCTTTATCCACTACCATTCCCTAGGTGATGTCTAATCCCTCTGGCCTGCTTTCAGCCAGAATTCAGTTAAATTGGTTTAGCTATAACCCCCCTTTACCCCGATTTCCTCTCAGTAATTTTCTATCCACTGACTCCCACCCTGGCTCGTTGGCTATAAATTCCCACTTTTCCTTGTATTTTGAGTTGAGCCTGATTTCTTTCCCCTACTGCAAAACCCCCTTGCAGCTGTCCCTACACCTGAACCTGATAGTGTGCCTTCTCACTCTTTAAAAGGTGTATTGAATGATTTTTTAAGATAATCAGACATTTTTTTAAGCCTAAAAAACCCCTCTAATAGCATCAGAGGAAACCACACATAAACCATGATGTTCTTTTGTTTCTACACTCTTGAACAACACAAGGCTGCCTATACTAAGATGACTTGGCATTTCCCAATGTGTAGACTAAGTTTTTAGAAGATAGTGTTCTTTTACATGTCAAGTGATTTTGATGATAGTGTTTACCTTAAAATTCATTGTAATCTCATCTGAACTACTTCATGTTTTACATTTGATACTCTTCTTTTAGGTAAATAAATTACAAATTTGACCTTTTCTGGCAATTAAGGAGTGAGTCAATGTACTATAATTTAAGGGGTCCGGTCCAGAGTTTGGCAACTTCTGCTAACATAAACCAATGATGGTGAATTAATCAACAAGCCTTTCTTTCCCATGGGACACACACAGAGTTCATAATCCTCTCATTCGCCAAAAACCTTCTCAACTCTGAGGGAAAAAAAGCACCATGTTTTTACAAGGGTTGTCGTGGTTCCATCCATAATAAAAAAGACTGAGATCATTTTCTCTCTCAACATGCTAGATTATCCTGACAGTAATCAGAACAGATAAATGGTATTTAAGCCAATATTAAAAAGAAACACAACCGTCTAAAAATTAAAACAAAAACTGATTACACTTTGATCAAAATAGGTTACCTTTGATCTCTCCTTTGCAGTTGCTGCTTCCTCAAAATGTACAGTAAGAGCCATAAGCAGCCCCACAAACAGATTGTTTAAGCTAAAAACCTCTGCTGCAATGGACCACTGCCATGTTAGACGAGAAAATGAAAACACCCCCGCAGCAAGGATTCCTCCAGCAGATGAGCCAGAAAGTCTGCAAACACAGATAACATGAAATCTTCTTCCCCAACAAAAAGAACTAACTTTATTTTCCTTTTTGTAAACTGTACCAACAAATTATGACAGTCACCCAGCACTATTCCAACACATTATACAGTTGATACATTACCTCATATAATAATTTCTTTCAACGGATTTTAATCAGGAAGTTCATATGTTAACCTATTAATGAACAAATTAACAAACCTATAGCTAGAATGAGAGTCAGTCCTCAGATGTACTGCTAGGATTCACGCCAGTTCAGAAAACCTGAGACACAGCAGCTAGAGAGAGAACAAACCTATGTCATTTTACTGCTCTACCCATGAAGAAGGATGATTTAGTTAAGACCTAAATGTTTGATTGTAAAAATTAATGAAATGAAAAAATATTTATTCAGAAAAATGCATTCTCACTTCAGGTAGAATGTCTGAACCTAGACATCTTCTATTTTCATCTCTTAGCACATGGCAAAGAATGTCTTGACCACAAGATTTGATGATTTTAATATCCTATACAGTGCAGTTCTTAGTTTGCGTTTTTTTCTTTAGACAAAGCTGAAGTTCAAACTAATTTTTTTTTTTCTAAAGAAGAAGATAGAAATGTGAATTTCAATAGCACCAGAAGAATCACTTAGAAACAAATTTTTCACTCATTAATGCCAACAAACCATGTACCTTCAAAACAATCAGGGATCTGGATCTCAGTTCAGAGACTTGATTTGAGACTGGTAGTGTGGTTAAATTTACTAGCGCGTATCAAACCAAAACAACTTTCCATTTCCTTATAAATCTAAAAATATGAAAATGAAAGCTATTGTGAAATGCCTATTTCTAATAGTGTTAGAAAATTCGACAAGCATTACTGTGTCTAACAATTTCTATAGCTCCGAATCATTAATTTTCAACTATATTCTTTTGTATAAGAAGTTACAGAGTAGTTCTACAGCTTTTAATCAGTCATTATTTTTAAATGATTAAATAAAAATCTCAGTATCAGCAAACCTCTTTTTTCTTTTGAGTTTCTGTTTGCAACTTATTTCTGTTTTCTTTCTCTTACAAAAATCCGCAGTTTCCTGTTTCAGTTTCCCAGTCTCCCACTGATCCTAATTCAACACATCGCTATTTCTTCCTTTCAAATTAATTTCCTATCTACTCACTCCTTTCTATTTGTACTTTTACTGCCTTCGACTTAATTATTATTATTATTATTTTTTTTTTGAGACGGAGTGTTTCACTCTTGTTGCCCAGGCTGGAGTGCAATGGCGCGATCTCGGCTCACTGCAACCTCCGCCTCCTGGGTTCGGGCAATTCTCCTGCCTCAGCCTCCTGAGTAGCTGGGATTACAGGCACGCGCCACCATGCCCAGCTAATTTTTTGTATTTTTAGTAGAGACGGGGTTTCACCATGTTGACCAGGATGGTCTCGATCTCTTGACCTCGTGATCCACCCGCCTCGGCCTCCCAGAGTGCTGGGATTACAGGCTTGAGCCACCGCGCCCGGCCTCGACTTAATTATTTTAAGAGTTCCCGAATTTGTCTTCTGTTTTTCAATCTTTTCTGCAATATAATATCATATCAAGTTTCCTAAAACCTACTCTTTATGACTACTCAGCCTAAAAACTTAAGGACTCTGGGCTGCTTTGAAGGATAAGTTCTAAATCAGACAGCCTGGAATCTAGGCTTCCAATAAGCTGGATTCCACTCATTCACTATTGATCAACATTATTCTCTCCACCAATCAGTCAGGCTCATCAGAATCTCCTCCTAAGATACGCCTACACCTAGCACTATACCTTTGCTCATTCTGTAGCAGTGAATCCAATGTCTTCCCTTCTGTTTATTTAAATCCTACTTCTTTCTCAAATGTTTCTTCAGTTCCTAGGTTTTTAGCCCATTCTGTAAATTTACAGTATTTAATTGTCTGTGACAATTAATTTAACATTGCTTTTGAAATGTGAATTGGAGTTATATTTCATTTATATTGGAAATATCTAGCCCTAAGCACCCAAAGGAAACTTAGTGAATGAGAGAACAAATTAAAATATTTCTAAATTTCTAAAGGAACTTCTGTGTTTCATATGTCAATATTATTTTGAAAGTCAGCATAAGATACAAGATTACTTCCTCCACTTAAAACCGAAATTAGCATCCTTGGAGAAATGGCCCATTCTAGAACTGGGATAGCTCTAGCACAATATTAGTCTGAAACAGCTTGTGCTGGAAAGTAAAGAAGTGCTCAAAAATGATGGGGGCATGACAGAAGGACACAGGAGCCAACTTAAAAAGGCTCCCACTGGCCAAATCTGGGATAATTTAAGCATCAGAAATAATTATAATAGCTTCTAACTCCCTGAATACACAAAAATCTATGCATCTACTGATGTAAATAAATAGGTGAGAAGAGAATATCATTGGCTTTTCCACAGAAAATCAACTAATAACTGTAGAAAAAAATGACTGAATTAGAAATCACCATTTGGCAGCCATCTTAATAATTATCAATGAATACCAAAACTAGTGGGTAAAGGTTTTGGAGTAACAGAATATGTATAGTCTCAAGCCACCTCCCTATAAATTGATGAAATACTAAGGGAAAAATGGTAACTTTAAAGTAATGAAAACTGTCAGACACAAACTTAACCACATGACCAAAATAAACAGCAGCAGTAACAGGACAAACATTACATGCTTCCCAATCTATTCTAGTGAAAATAATATAACATCGTTTCTACAGTATTCCTGCAGAAATGTGTTAGCTGAAACTAAGGAGGATAATTCTGATATAAATGAATCCTTAGGAAGAAAACTTAACCTTCACTAATCTACAATGATTTTTAACACATTCTTTCACTCAGAAAGGCATCCTAAAGCATTTGAACTGTTGACATTAATTATTAGAATTATGAACTATGTTAACTGCCCTTTCAAATATTTCATAAGCTTTTAAAAATTGAAGAATATAAGGTAAAATTTTTGGCTTCAATAACATTTATCTAGTTACCTTAGATTACTATAATTAGGTACATTAGTATTTTACTGAAGACTAATCCCATATCGGCAAGGTCTATAATCTGAATCCTCTCTCTCCATCTCCCCACTAAGGTCAAGATGGTTTTGCAATAAATAATTCATGTACTCCTTCACCTGATTTTCCTCGGCATTAGAAAAATAATTTGTGAGACCGCTGAGTAAAATAGTAGAAGACAAGGTAACGAACAGATTGTAAAACCAGTAATGGAAATCAAATCTAAAATCTCAACCTTTTTAGCATCAGGTGAACTTGCTCAAAAATCAAACTAAGTCTACAGTAGACCTAATGTATTGCACACAAAAGCGTCGTGCATCTTTCCATCTGCTTGTTTCCCAACAGCAGCATATGAGGGTCTGATTTTTCCACATCCCAGTGAGCACTTGCTATATAGCTTTTTAATTCTAGCCATCCTACTTGGTGTGAAGTGGCATCTCACTGAAGTTTGGATTTGCATTTTCCAAATGGCTAATGCTGCTGAGTATCCTCTTCTGTGTTTATTCTCTCCCTCGAAGAAGTGTCTATTCAGATCGTTTGCTCATTTCTTAAATTGGATTATTTGTGTTTTTATTATTGAATTGTAGAGTTTTTCCAAGTTTCTTTTACTGTTTCTTCTCGGCTAACCACAGCCAGTCACCCGTTTGCAACCAAGAACCCTGACTGGAACACACCGTCTTCCCCCTTTAGTATAACTTCCCATAGTATTTTCAAGAAAACTGTGTGAAGAAATTCTGAAAATAAAATGCTAATGTTCTCCTAGTGTTGTGTAAAACAGGAGAGGAGGCACGCCTCTAAGAGCAGAAAGTCATGCGTATGTCCATACACAGGATATACAGAATGTGAAACATTTTGGAGGACCCATCTGTTTTAGTATTCATGTTTTCATACAATAATCTATGGGGTAAGCCTGTATGAATTCTTTTATTTCAATAGGATTTTATAAGTCAAACTTTGAATGCTCCTTAAAATGCACATATTTCAACATACTGCCTTTATTAAAAGTTTGCTTTATGACAGTTAATATGTGGGCTATTCATTGCTTATTTAAACGTTGACCAAATTGTCTACCATATCTGCCTAATCATCAACTCTCTTCACTTTGGAAGAAAAATTATCCAAATAATTTTTTTTTTTTTTTGAGACGGAGTTTTGCCCTTGTTACCCAGGCTGGAGTGCAATGGCGCGATCTCGGCTCACCACAACCTCCACCTCCTGGGTTCAGGCAATTCTCCTGCCTCAGCCTCCTGAGTAGCTGGGATTACAGGCACGTGCCACCATGCCCAGCTAATTTTTTGCACTTTTAGTAGAGACGGGGTTTCACCTTGTTGACCAGGATGGTCTCGATCTCTCGACCTCGTGATCCACCCGCCTCGGTCTCCCAAAGTGCTGGGATTACAGGCTTGAGCCACCGCGCCCGGCCAAATAATTTTTAAGACCTAAATGACTTTGGATTTTTGTAAACAGGATGATAGACAATTTAAACAACAGATTCTAACATTCTTCAAAAAACTTGAGATGACTGAACTACCATTTATACGGGTTTATGTTGTATTTTAGTCCAAGTAACACATACATGTTTAATAGATTCTATTTCCAAAGACAGATTCAGCTAAGTCTTCCAAATCGGGTTTTTTGTTTTTATTTTTGTTTTTCATTCATTCCTTATCCAGTTATGCAGCAACAAAAACAGACTGAAGATCAGGACTCAGTTTTATCAGAGCTATATGTATAAGACTTCCCTGTTAATATAAAAATAAAAAGCTAAAAGCAAAAAAAAAAAAAAAAAGTTACTTTATGCTAAGACTCAGAATCAATAAAGAGTTACTTGCCATGTAACATATACAAACTAGTGGATTAAGAAGTTGAGACAGGTTGGGTGCAGCGACTCATGCCTGTAATCCCAGCACTTTGGGAGGCCAGAGCGGGTGGATCACAAGGTCAGGAGACTGAGACCAACCTGGCTAAC